TTGGTTAACTACTGTATTGAACAAATCACAAAAATATGAGTTGTTCCTCTACAAATAGAAAAAAAATACATATTGCCATTTAAATGGGTGGACCTATAGTTTTTTATCTATATTTTTTTTGCATTGTAGAAGCTTTCCTTTGTGCTTCATATCAGGCATTTTCCAAGCAGACATCACCCCACCTCTCCCCTCCCCAAAAGATTCTGAACACATGGGTTAGTGGCTAATACCTTCTTTAAAACCTCACAAGCTGTATGTTTTAGCACCAGTACTGCATTTGGTGCTTGTGTACTAAGCTCTTGTTGTTTCATTTGTTTTAGTTTTTGTGCATTTGCTACTTGTTACATTTTGCACAAGAACAAGGTTTTTTTTTCATATAGGATTTTACTTTTTTTTTTTAAGAATGCATTTAATACTCATGATCATTGAATTGATTATATATTTTTTTCTCAATGTTGGTTGACAATAAATGTTACTGTACATATTGAGATTGTTATTTTACTTTTCCCATATTGTTAGAATATAGACAAATAGCAAGAGACCAAATAATAAAGATTATTAAGGATTCCAAAGAAAATTAATTCATTTCAAGAAATCATGGCTGTTTGTATGAAATTCTACAAAAACATCTGAGAAAAATACGAATAAACTTGTGAAGTTTAATTTTTGCTGGAAAATAAACATGAATTCTGCTTTTAGATATCAAAACATTGCATATTTCAAAATAAAATTACATAATCAATTTGAGTAAGGTCTTTTGCTAAGCTTATCTAAATGTAGACAAATATAAATGGATAAACAGATACAAGAATAAATAAATAAAGAGATGCATAAATTTATAAATAAGACTAAGTAGACATGGCTAGGTCGAAATAAAGGTAGGAAAAGGCTGAGAGGGTGTGCATGAAGAACATGGAGAGAGGGTGAGAGCATAAAAGTATGTTAGAGAATGAGGAGAATAAAAGAGAGAGAGAGGGGGGGGGAAACAAGAAAAGGTCTGCTATTTATTTCAGAAGTTGAAGATGTTTTACCCTTATTTGGGGCATTAAGACTTGTCCCTTCATCAACTAGCCTATCTAAATTTGATTTCATTGGTTTCCTGCCCCCTGCCTCTCCTTTGACCACGGCTCTGACTGATACTAATACCCCCTGCTCAATGACTGTGATCAACTCTATCCATCTATCATCCACCCAGCTCATTACTCAACCTTCAGAATACACCCCTTCCTCTCTCCCATCATCCTCCACTCCATCTCCTACTACACAGTCTTCTTCATTTTCTACCCCAACCCCTTATTACTACACTTCATCCTCACTGTCCTCCCCCAACAGCACTGCCTCTCTCCATAACACCTTCCATCCGTTCTCGTCCCTTTACTGCTTCCACCTCCTACAAACCTTTTGAGTACCCTTTTTGGCCTAGCCAGGTGAGATCAATTCTCAGTGATTTCCCCTACCGCCCCGTACTCTGACAATACATTTCTCTTCCAACACTGTCTCTAAAAACAGGGAGGCAAAGTTTCCTTTCGCAGTCGTTCTGATCGTTCACGCCTTGTCACAGTTACATCTGAGTCTCAAGCTCGTAGACTATCTTCCCTGACTGACCTCAGTGGCAAACTTATTCCTGCCAAACCTGACTCCTTCCTTAACACTTGTACCGAAACTGTTTCCATCTCTCTGTCCGATTGTGCTTTCTACAATAAGTACTGGTCAGACTGTGAAAGCGACTCGCATGCCTCGTCGACTATGGTGCAGTGGCAGTCCAGTGCTACACTATTCTCCCAAAGGCCAACATAAGTTGTACACCAGTATTGCAAAAAATTAGCTTCCGTAGACATGATCTCCCACCATGACCTTTATATTAGTGGAGTGTCCTGTCCTCTCCGACCATATCGACCCCTTCCCTGTCAATGACGGAAATGCTGGCCAGCCAGCCAAACACTGTCGCTCCACAGCCTGCTGCCATTAACCATTAACCATTCCTCATACAATATGCATAGCCAGTGAACTCCCTTGCCAGCAAGATTCAGGACCAGTTGTTCATTTTGCCAGCGACTCAAAGCCATCAGTTTTTGCTGGATACCCAGTCATGCTGGGATATCCGGGGTTGAACAGGTAGATGCCCCTGCACCCTTTTGCAGGCTTGTCCACATCCCATCAGATGAGATTTTCACACATACCAGCCAGTGACTATTACCCTCATTTCAAAACCTTCCTCTTTATCCGCTGGCAGTCCTTCTGTTCTGGCCCTGTCACCAATAAGCTATATACTATAAAATCCTCCGTCTCCCTTAGCCCCAATCCATCAGAAAAGATGCCGGGAAACTGCTCTTGACAGAGTACTTATTAGTCACACTCGCCTCACGCATTCCTGTCTCTATCTAACATTCTAATCCACTTCTATGATTTTCATGCAATGTTCCTCATTCAATTCTACGCATTCTGCTATCCTGCCCCCTCTTTCCAACAACCCTTTTCTCTGCCTTTCCTCACTTGTCCTCTCTCCCTCGACTCCCATCCTTTCAGAATCCCCTATTTTTTTCCTTTGGCATGTTCTCTTTCCTCAGACGCATATATATCATCCGTTTGATCTTATCCTCTTCTCCTATTACTCCTTTCCCCCTTAAAGCCCTTATCTTATGCTATACCCAATAGCTCCCCCTCTCTACCCTTTACAATACCATAATACCCTATAACACTGTTTACCCACTAACACCCAATCCTTAACTCATTTCCGTGCTTTTCGTCGCAATACTTAATCATAGTGCTGTATGACCTTAGATGTCAAGTACATTTATTTGTTTTAGCCATTAGCCATTAACCCTTAACATTTAAGGAATATAAACAGGTGTATAGGCCACTCCTAAGTACAGGTACAATAGATGTAGCCTTGGATTTCAGGAAATTTTCATGTTCATAGAAACTAGTTAAGGAAATAGAGTGGCGGTATTTTTTTTTTTTCATATAGGATTTTACTTTTTTTTTTTAAGAATGCATTTAATACTCATGATCATTGAATTGATTATATATTTTTTTCTCAATGTTGGTTGACAATAAATGTTACTGTACATATTGAGATTGTTATTTTATTTTCCCATATTGTTAGAATATAGACAAATAGCAAGAGACCAAATAATAAAGATTATTAAGGATTCCAAAGAAAATTAATTCATTTCAAGAAATCATGGCTGTTTGTATGAAATTCTACAAAAACATCTGAGAAAAATACGAATAAACTTGTGAAGTTTAATTTTTGCTGGAAAATAAACATGAATTCTGCTTTTAGATATCAAAACATTGCATATTTCAAAATAAAATTACATAATCAATTTGAGTAAGGTCTTTTGCTAAGCTTATCTAAATGTAGACAAATATAAATGGATAAACAGATACAAGAATAAATAAATAAAGAGATGCATAAATTTATAAATAAGACTAAGTAGACATGGCTAGGTCGAAATAAAGGTAGGAAAAGGCTGAGAGGGTGTGCATGAAGAACATGGAGAGAGGGTGAGAGCATAAAAGTATGTTAGAGAATGAGGAGAATAAAAGAGAGAGAGAGGGGGGGGGAAACAAGAAAAGGTCTGCTATTTATTTCAGAAGTTGAAGATGTTTTACCCTTATTTGGGGCATTAAGACTTGTCCCTTCATCAACTAGCCTATCTAAATTTGATTTCATTGGTTTCCTGCCCCCTGCCTCTCCTTTGACCACGGCTCTGACTGATACTAATACCCCCTGCTCAATGACTGTGATCAACTCTATCCATCTATCATCCACCCAGCTCATTACTCAACCTTCAGAATACACCCCTTCCTCTCTCCCATCATCCTCCACTCCATCTCCTACTACACAGTCTTCTTAGACAGGTAGAGCCCCTGCACCCTTTGCAGGCTTGTCCACATCCCATCAGATGAGATTTTCACACATACCAGCCAGTGACTATTACCCTCATTTCAAAACCTTCCTCTTTATCCGCTGGCAGTCCTTCTGTTCTGGCCCTGTCACCAATAAGCTATATACTATAAAATCCTCCGTCTCCCTTAGCCCCAATCCATCAGAAAAGATGCCGGGAAACTGCTCTTGACAGAGTACTTATTAGTCACACTCGCCTCACGCATTCCTGTCTCTATCTAACATTCTAATCCACTTCTATGATTTTCATGCAATGTTCCTCATTCAATTCTACGCATTCTGCTATCCTGCCCCCTCTTTCCAACAACCCTTTTCTCTGCCTTTCCTCACTTGTCCTCTCTCCCTCGACTCCCATCCTTTCAGAATCCCCTATTTTTTTCCTTTGGCATGTTCTCTTTCCTCAGACGCATATATATCATCCGTTTGATCTTATCCTCTTCTCCTATTACTCCTTTCCCCCTTAAAGCCCTTATCTTATGCTATACCCAATAGCTCCCCCTCTCTACCCTTTACAATACCATAATACCCTATAACACTGTTTACCCACTAACACCCAATCCTTAACTCATTTCCGTGCTTTTCGTCGCAATACTTAATCATAGTGCTGTATGACCTTAGATGTCTAGTACATTTATTTGTTTTAGCCATTAGCCATTAACCCTTAACATTTAAGGAATATAAACAGGTGTATAGGCCACTCCTAAGTACAGGTACAATAGATGTAGCCTTGGATTTCAGGAAATTTTCATGTTCATAGAAACTAGTTAAGGAAATAGAGTGGCGGTATTTTTTCTTCTTCTTTATTCTTTCTGGATTAAATGGACCAATTTTAGACTCCACGCCCTGTAACGTATGTCAAAAAAAAGACATTATTATTTTATTGGATTATACTAAAGGCTCCCCTCTTCAAACTCCACATTTTCTATGACAATTTAAGAACGTTTCAGTTACTAGTAAACCCTTTTAATGTTCCATATTTAAAATAAAAGTCACAACTAAGACATAATTTCCGGTAAAATACGAAGGAAACAAATTCCAACGCCACAAAATTATTTAAAAGATAGATTATTAAATGTTTAGCCGCCATATTGGAAACGTTTCCATAGACGTTTTTTCTGACTCGTTAGCCTTTTTTTTCCCGTTTTAAGGGCCGAAAACAGGGGGAGAAACTAAAATTGAAACAACTCCAAGACATCTCATTTTCTTCTCTTCCTTGAGGCATGAAAACCGTGAAAAATGCCTGCCTGTTCTGCTCCCAATTGCACAAATAGGCCCGAGAGACCCAATGGGAAAACATTTCACCTGTAAGTTTGGAAGGAAATTTATACGTTTCTAAGTTAATAGTGTAATTAGTAATGTGATATCTAGTGTTTATGTCGTGTAGTGACTGCTGATATAAGAATTATAGAATTTAGAAATATAGGCATGTTATAACTAATACTATCATGTCCTTTTCAAAACAAATGATGCTTTGCTGTAGATATAAATCATGATACATTTAAGTTCATTAAAATAAATCGCTGAACCTCACATATGATAGAGACCATTAAACAGCTATTAGGTTGACAGCATTTCCACATGTTGCAAAAATGTAAAGATGTTGAATTTCCTGTCAATGACAATCATCTCCCACAAGATGACATTGGAATGAAATGACAAATTCTAAGGAATATGTGTCATGCAGCCTTCACTTACGAGGCAAATAATATAATGGAAATGACAGAGCGGCCAAATCTGTGAAACATTTCTCTTATGTACCCTTTGCAAATGAAAAATAGGAAGAGTTATTTGCAATGACCTCTTCAATTTTGGTGCTCCAGCAAAGACCAATGAATTTCTTCTACACATATTCTGGCAAGACGAACTTGGAATGCTTCCTTATTTAATGATGCATTGGCATGGATTTTACAGTATTTACTAGGAAAAAAAAAAAATCACTGGCAGCATGTAGTACCCACACCAGTACAAGTGAATTCAAATGTTATAAGTATTTTTACACACTACATGTCAGATCGAGCACTTATGTTGTTTACCTTAAGGGTGATAGTTGTCATAGTTTGAAAAATACCATGATTTATGTATCATAACATATTATATCATATATCATATCTCATATCATGTCATATATCTCATATGATGTAATAATGTATATGATGTGCTATGATATTATATAATATCATATCTTATATTCTAAACATTATTCTAAACGCAGTAACATGTACACAAAGATGTAAAGGAAAACAGCCACAGCAAGAAATGAATATAAGTCGTATCATTTTGACCTCTTCATGAGTTCCTCTTCAGATGAAAAATAAACCGAAATTTATCCATCTCGGGTTATTCTTCTTCTAAAGAGGAACTTGTGAAGAGTTCAAAACATTACAATTTATATTCATTTCTTACTGTGGCTGTTTTCCTTTTCATATCATATCATGTTATATATATCATATCATATATCATTATCACCATCACAGTTTATATGTAAAAATCTGCAATGCAATACACAGCTAAACAAAGTATTTAAAGATTTTATTTAATTATTCTGTTTATTATCTTGAAAAAAAACATTCTGAATGAATCCACAGCTTCCCCAAGGAGGGTTCGTTGAGGCAACAGTGGGTCAGGGAGGTTAACCGTGAGTACTGGACGCCTTCCAAGAGGTCACTCCTCTGCTCCGACCATTTTACCGAGTCGTGCTTTGATAAGACGGGCCAGACCACCAGACTAAAAGACAATGCTGTGCCGACGCTTTTCGACATACCTGCACCCACGAGGAAGAAGGTGTGTGTGTGTGTTTTAATATGTTACTTCATGACAGGCTGTGGGTGTCTATTTACTTGTGTTATAATGCGTAATCTTTATTTAATGTTTCCTTACTATATTTATCATTAACATTTGTGTATATATTATGTTAAAAATGTTTTAAATAAATTTATGTACTAATTTGAACATTTATTTATAAAATATATACAATCTATATATTACATTATAAGATAAGTATTGTATATTATTAGGTATGATATAAAAATATAGTTTAATTGATGTATCAAAATGTTTCTAGCCATTAAAATTTTGCATTTCTATAGTATTAGATCTCATATCATTGGTATTATAATATTCATGAAAAACAACATATTTGAAAATATTAGAAACATTAAGGAAGAGAAAAAATATATCCCAAATAAGTACTTATGTTTTAGATGGTCCAATGCATGGGAAACTGTGAGATTGTTGTGTGAATGTAGGTTATGATGATAAAACTACAAATTGGGATATATTACAGAATTTTGGTGTACACTAAAGCAAGAACAAATAAGGAATATTGATAACTGCAAATATTTTTTCATATATTTGATATTAGTTCCATCTTATTGATACCTGTGGGAGAGGGACCAGAATTTGTTGTTTTTGTTTTTATTAGTTTAGTATAGTTCATCATTAATTATCTATTTCATTTCCTTTAATTATGAATTATTTTTATCACTGATTGATTATTGGTTCTATTAATTATTATCAATTTATAATTATAGATTGCCTCTTAGACATTTTCTTATTATCGGTTATATTCTTCCACATCGACAGGCCAGGCCAAGAGAAGAGCCTCCGGAGACTGAGACGGTGGTTCCTGCACAAAGGGGTCGACCGAGGAAAAAACAGAAACAGGAAATGAGCAGCAAGTTAAGCCGTGAGGTGTGTGCCTTGCCTTTGGTGTATAGAAAATGAATATGTGAAATAGAAGTTGACATGATATATGTGTGTCTTTTTTGTTAATGGATAGATTAGAAATGTCATTATTAAGGGGGAAAAGGGGAAATAAATCACAATTAGTAAAAGCCTTGTCAGGAAAGGATATATATTTCGTTAGGTGCAATTAATTTGGATACTCAGTATGCAGTGGAAACAAAAGGGAAGTTTTACTATTACTATTATTTGGATAATATCTTTTAATACCCAGGAACTTGAGGCTAAATTGCAGCTGCTTGAGGAACACAACAAGAAATTGACAAAGCTGCTTTCACGGAGTCCACGACCCTCAACAGTGACTGAGACTAAGAAGACAGAGAGCAAGAATAAAAACATCTTTGTCTTCAGGTCTGTTGCTTGTGTTCGTGTAAGAGAGGGTACTGTATGGGTTAGAGATTTTGTTTGACAAGTATTGAAAATATGTAGGTTTTGAAATTACTTTAGGTGATTACAAGACAGATGTGAATGAAAGGGAAATTAAATTAGATGATGTGAGGCTTTAAAGGTCTTGTATGTTATTATATATGTTTTTTCTCAATTTTGTAGGTATCCAAGGAGGCAGATCTTGTTGAAAGTGGCTTATCTAGGGTGGGACTACCAGAGCTGTGCATCGCAGGAAGAAATCCAACAAAGTATTGAAGATAAATTACTGCAAGCACTTCTGAAAACGAATTTAACAGAATCTATTATTAGTTCAAAGTTTGAAAGGTAAGACACAAAGTCTGAAAGATTGCACTGTGTGTTGAAAAACTTCCATTAGTTATGGACTGTACGAATCATCAGATAGGCATTTTTACCAACCATAGACCTCTCCATTGCTTAAAATTATTTACAGTATTTTCTCCCATTACTCTAACTGAACTATGTCCATCAATATGCCAGGTGCAGCAGCAACAGTGAAGGCTTCAGCCCCTTCGACCAAGTCATCTCTATCATAGTCCGAAGTAATCTCAAGTCCGGCCTGGGAGTCATTCCTCCGGACAAAAAAGCAGGGTCGGCAGTGGAAGAGAACCCAACATTGCCGCTGTGTGCAGAAAAGAATGGCGAGCAGGAGATTGATTATGCAAGAGTAGTGAATGAAGGTGAGTTCTGTGTTTAAGGGTGTGGCTGCACTTCGTTTTTTTTGTTGCAGTTGTCATTTCTAAGGTTATTTTTTGACTGATGACAGGAATACACTTCTTGAGGAAAGTTTGATCATCTGACATTTGGTTTTGTTATGTCATTTCCACTATTTTTTACTATTAGTCTACAGGTCATATATTGTATCAACAGTTAGCTAAAGTCCAATGTGGACAGTTTCAAAGAAAAAAAAAAAAAGTTAAATGCATGAAGTTAGAAATGGGAGAAAACTTGCATGTATTTATTATGAAATGAAAAACATGCTTTATGAAATAGTGAATTAATAAACCTTTTGGTTCTTTAGGAAAAAGTTGGAAATTTCACAGATGAATGCAGGAAAATAAGGGAAAGTTTTCTTCTGAATCCAAGGAAAGTTATTTCTAATTTATTTATTTTTTATTTGTGTAATTTATCTCTTTCCTTTTTTTGGGCAGAAAAAAAATACAAAATGAGATTTTTGTATTCAATAATTTGCATAATCAAATCAACCTCTATATTGATTGTTTAGTATATTTTAAATTAGATTACATGTATGATGCTAATAATGTTTTTATTAGTATACTGGAGATTGTCACACCTTATAGTGATATTCTAATACAGTACTTTATATCTCCTTTTCCTATGAATGCACAGAATCTGAGGTAGAAATAAGTCTGGATTTGTTTATATATAGATTATGACTTGATTATTTGTGATAAACATTTCAAGCCAATTTCAGGTTATGTATGGGGGTCCCCTTTGCTTTTCTACTA